CCCATTAATGTAAACTTAGATGAAGTAACAAAAGTGTGATTTTATGAAGGTTTATTTCTATATTTACCTGTAAAAAGCTCTTTGCGTCTCAATCCATTTCATTCGTCTTGGCGTCAGTGACTCTAGCATCTGTAGACAATAATCAGACTCCAGGGATCAGCTTATCCTTCCTGGAAGGTGGACATTATGGGAAAAGGATCAATAGACTTGGGGTGTATTTTTCCTCTAAAAAATAAAAATAAAACAGCTTTTTTTCTCTTGTACTCTGGTTTTACTTTGTTTTATTGGGGTTCTCAGAGTCAGAACCACCAACCAAAGAACACTCACTGGCTGGAGCTAGGCCTCCCTGCTCATAGGTAGCAGATGTGCAGCTTGACCTTCATGTGGGTTCTGAACAACTATAATGGGGGCTATCCCACAAGCTGTTGACTGTGTGTGGTATATGTTCTTCTAGCTGAACTGCTTTGCCTGGCCTCAGTGGGAGAGGAAGCATCTAGCCTCAAAGAGACTTGAAGTGCCGGGAGGGGGAGGATACCCCTGGGGGACCACTACTAGCTCAGGGGAGAAGGGGAGGGGGCATGGGGGGAAGGAGTGTGGGAGAAGGTGACCAGGAGGGGGTCAGTGAGCAGGATATAAAGTTAATAAGTAAATCAACAAAATAAATAAATAAATAAAGAAAGAAAGAAAGAAATAGACTTCAATAAAGATAGACACAATGTGCAGCTATGAGACATTAAATCCCACTACATGGCAACCAGATTTCACCCTTAGGAGGATGACCAGGGAGCTTTCCCACCTCTGCAGATACAGACTATAAACATCTCCTAAACTTGCAAACATTTGACTTGCAATCCTGTGGTTCTCAGGTACCCTGAGGCTGAGGTGATTCAGCTCACTAACCTTGGGTTTTGCTGACCTCCAGAGGGAGCCCTTCATCAGCCAGACCTAGTACTCACCAGCCAAAGAATAGATATTACTCTGAACTGTCATTGCCTTGACCATAGAGTGAGATGAGGCTTTTGATACCCAAGACCGAAATGTCGCTGTTCAATGAATTAGAGATTTCTGAAGAGTGAGTACCTTTTATTAGTAGGCAGTGCCAGGGAAGCCTCCTGTGTTCCTGGATAATAGGTATTCAACCGGTGTCTAGTACAACAACCATGTTTTCACAGAGGATAACAGTTGGGAATTCAGTCAGCTGTATTACTTAGGAAACTCTATGAGATTAAAAACTTAGAGTAACTTGCAATAATATGACTCTAGCTAGACATATCCCTCTTTTATAGCTAATTTTATTATACACTACTTACCATTGTAAAATCCTGAAACTCAGATTCATAATATCTCTGATCAATAAATTAAGAATGAATAACTTGGGGGTAGGAACTACTATTGACTTACATAAAGGAACAAGGGTTCTGTTATTTGAAATGAACAAGAAGCCTAAATTCTCAGCAGTAATTCATTACTCCTGAACTATAATAGCTGTTTAATCATTCCATAGTTCTGAGATAATATGAAGATTAGACCAGGTTCTCCAGTTGTCATCTGTTATGGACCTTTTTATCCTGTCCTTTGAGGATGAAATGAGATATACCATGTTGTTGCTTGTGGTCCGCGTAACATTTCACCACAGACTGTAGAAGCCGGAGGTGGTGAACAGAGACTAGGAAAGAGTGTCTTCTGGACAGAACGGGTGTACACATGAACTCACAGCAGAATAACCTCAAGCCAGAGTACACCAATAGGAGAGGGCGGGCATGAAGACCCACTCCTAGCAAATGAACTAGTGACAGCAATGGCTGCCGGGAGAGGGCTGCCTTCATTCGGTTGATCATGCTACATTGGAAAGCTACATATCCAACAGTGTATATGGTAGCACAAACATGATTTGCTGGGGTAAAATGGGGGTACAACAAGTTGGGTAGGTAGAGAAGGAGTGGATCTGAAAGAAGGTGGAGGAGAGGGTGGATATTGTCAAAACTTATTGTATGAAATTCTCAGAACTAAACCAAAACTAAAAATAGTCATTCATCCATAGACTTGATATATCTGAGACAAAGCAAGCTGTGAATTAAGCAAGTAACTTGCTTGAGGACTAATGTCAAGTGTAATGCATTTCTACTTTGTAAATAAGGGTCAACTGAGAAGAGAGAATTCTCCAGTGAATGCAATACCATTTAGATTGTTCAACTGAATTGTCAATTCTAATCATAAGATGCCAAATTTCCAAGTGTCTCCCCTATGAGCAGCAGCTGGCAGGCCTCTTACCTATAACAACATATCTTTCCACTCTACTATTTGGAGAGCACAAAGATGCAGGTTTCTAGAAAGGAAGAAAGGATAGGATAGAGAAGGAAGAACCCAAATAAGAAAGTCTGTGGGGGTCTGGGAGACTGCTCAGCAGGTAAAGTACTTGCTATACAAACATTTTATCTTGAGTTTGGATTCCCACCTGGTCCTGCCCAAACACCTATAATGTCAGCCCCGGAGGCAGAGATAGATGGAGCTCTGTGACTTGCCGGTCAGCTAGTCTGGCCAATGCAATGGGCTTAAAGTTCGTTGAGAGATACTGTCTCAAAATATAGGGTGGGCATTGTCGAGAGATACTTGAAATCAAGATCTGGCCTCCACACATGCATGCATGGACATGTGTACCCACATACCAGACACACACACATACATGCATACATAGACATGTATACTCACATGCCACACACACATACACACAGACACATATGAGTACACACACAGACACACACACAGACACACACACACACGGATGCATGCATGCATGGGCTTGTGTACCCACATACTGGACACACACACATACACAATCAGTGTTATTCTTTGAAGTGAGGGGGGATCACAGAAAAGGAAAGTGACTTTATGAGATTACAATATATTTTAATCAAATTATAAATAACAAGGACAATGGTCATTCACCTATTTCTTGAACTGAGCAACTTCGCCATTCCAATGTCTTGCTTTCACTCATTAGCAAGAAGTACAGCAGAGCATGATTATTGGGAAGTAACTTGGTAGCGTTTCTAAAAAGTGGGCAAAGAGGTGTCTGTGAAGGAAATGCCCATTCTGCATCCTTGGTATGCTTTATTCCGTCCTGTCACAAATAAGATTCAGCCAGACTGGATTCACTCCACTAGAGCCTAGAACACCTGACCCTAAAAGAGCAGTTACAAGTGTAACTCAAAGCTCAGGGCAGTAACTCAGGTGCATCCCTGGTGTAGATTATAGGACCACTGCCCAGGATTGCACAGAGTAACCTAAAGCAGAACCATAAGGGTCCTCAGGCATCAGCCCTATTTTCTAACGTTGTAGCACTTGAGATGGACCTTCAGGAAAGTTGGAGTCTATCAAAGAAGGCAAAACCAGCTCTGTGTAAAAAGGCTTGGCTTCTTTGTCTGGAACAGAGAATTAAGAAATACACATGTGTGGGTGTGCATATGTGTGTGTGTGTTCATGCACACACATTTGGGTGTGCATACATGTGTGATTGTGTGCACTGTCACACACACACGTGTGTGTGTGTGCTTCGGGTATGCACACACTAACGTACGGGTGTGAACGTGTGTAGATTCCATATTTAACTTTACACCTCAGGTTGTGCTCAGGAATCCACTTCTTCCAGTCTACATCTTTATGACAGTTTTATCAAATAAAACTCAAGATATAATACAAAATTTTCATTTTAATTAGTCACAGGAATTACAAAAGTGAAGTAATGTATGCACTTCGTGTGTTTTCAGAAATGAAAATATGCTTGGGATTTGTGAATTGCCTTAGGATGAAAGAAGAAAACAAAACAGGAAAACAATCTCCCCCTACCCCCTCAGATATCATGAGGAAGCAACCTTATTAGGGTATTTAATACCAGTGTCCAAATACGAGCAGGGAGCCCCAGCCTGCAGACAGATCCAGCTCCCTTAACACTGAATCTACAAGGAGTCACGCTGCAGCCAGGACCTTCGACGTTCATTATGACTTCACTGAGTCTAAGGAGTTTGGGATTTGATTTCCAACAGTAATGGACCGGCAAGCACAAGCAAACTCACAAGCTAGCTTGTCTTACAACCCAGGGACAGCCGTGGAGACTGTGCTGGGAAGCAAAGGTAAGTTTCCGGGTAGTGTTTTGTGTGTTTATTTTTCTTGCAGAACTCTAAAGAGTTGCTTCGACCCCATCACGGTCCTCTCCTGGAGCCTCAGAGCTGTTTACAGAATCCGAGAGTTCCAGCAGTACATTTCCATGAGGTCATAACCAGCTCCAGTCCTACCCTTTTCCATTTAACATGTGCCCGAGAATATCTGTGCCTCTCAAGCCCTACTTTGGGCTTGTGATTTCATGACAACGCAGCAGAAGTAAGGTGGTTAATTGCCGTGCTGTCATGAAGCTATCAGAATGGCGTTTCTTGCCTGCCTCTCTATGCTAATCAGCTAGTTCAGGCTCCTCCCTCTCCAGCCTCCCTTAAGAACTGCACACATCCAGCTGCCCAGGGGCGAGCTCCAGCCAGGCAGATTTAAACCCTGATTTAATCCTGCAGCACTTTCCCCGTTGCTTGCACCTTTCTCTAGAAGTCCTCTCTATACTAGAGGGACTGGACTTAGCATCAGAGAAGGAATTGAAAATGGCTAAAATTGAACAAGAGAGCTAGTTTCACCGAGAGACATCATTTATTTTTGTACATTCTAAAAGGAGAAAGTTTCAGGGCAGTTTGAAATAAACTAAGAATTAAGTCGTGTTTCCAGCCAAATAAGTTGGCATCTTTGTAGGCAGAAGGTGCAACACTGGTAAATATTTACTGCAGAATTCTTAACCAGGAGAAACTCTGGCATGTTCTTCGGGGAGTAAATGTTTGACGTGCAAGGCGAGATCTGCGCGTGCTTCTGTGTTTTTTTCCGCGTGCTTCTGAAGACAGTTTTTGATGTCTGGCTAAGACAAAATGTGCTAGTGGTCCTCGAGTGACATCCAGATTGTTGGTACCATGTCTACAACACAAAAGAAAGATGACAGCTACCTGTTCACCAGTTCGTGCATGTGTCCGCTGAAGGTGCAGAAGGACCAGCAACAGCAAGGTGGGTCTGGAGAGCAAAGTCTGTGACACAGCAAGCTCTGTGACTTTCTGACCGTTTGTATGTCTGGGAAAGGGTGGTCTGGTGAAGCAACTGAAAACTCTGAGAGGAAGAATAATAGGCTGGACAGTGAGTTCACGTGGCCTCACTGTTGATTTAAAGGATGATCTATAGTTGACTTTTGAGAATACATATTCCTTGGAAATATGTACTCAAACTTCTAGCCATTGTCAGTTGTATAGAGTGTGCTAGAGTGTGTATAACTGAAAACACCCATTGGGGCAAGGTTAAAGAAATTTAGCCAAGAGCAGCCTTGTTAGCCTGGCTCTACCCTCACGTCCTAGTACTGACAGGGGTTTTGTTTAAGTCTAGCCTTGTGAGGAATTCTGACTCATTCATTTGTGGAAAATACATATTTTGACACTCATTTTTATAGTCCAAAGAAATCTGGAGTATCCAGTGTGGCATTTTACTTGGTGGACCACTAAACACTACACCTCACCAGACTTTCCACGAATCATCTTTGAAAGCATTTCAGATTGACTACCCCGCCAGATGATGATTGTACAAATAGACCAACGATTACTCTGGTCCATAGTCAAGGACAACAGAAAACACTAGTGGGAAAGACTGTGAGCTGATGACATCAGCACCCTCCCCCACAGAGGCTAAGAACTTTCCAAATGCGTCTTACTTCTTGCGGCCTGTCATGGATCTAGGATACACAGTACATGAGCTCCTCAATTATTTCCCTGTAGATTTGGCTTTGGATTTTCACTCTCCTGCTAACGAACTGAAACCTCCCACATTCAGGGTAGCATCGGGGTGCTAACATTTGGTGAATGTCTCAAGCCACTTGAGCTGAGTGACCTCATGCCAACTGGGGCTTAGCAGAGCAGGGGCAGGAGGTGATTCCCCCCATGAAATGAGGACAGTCTAAACTTTTCCCAGCATGCTGCACCACCCAGGTTAAAAGAAGTCATTTTGAACCAATAGCCTTAGACACAGGACTGTCCAAGTGGCTCAGGTGTTACTAGAAAAATCTTCAGTTTGTCTCTGTGTTTGTTTGCTGCTCTTTTTTTTTTCTTAAGATGTAATATTTATAATAGAAAATTTGGTGAAAGGAGCTTAGAGAAGTGAGTAAAAGAAATCCTGTAAGTGACTTCCTAAAGATGCCTGCTGTGACTATTTTAGTAGGCAGCCTAGTCTCTTCTTCAATGTACGTGCTTGGACTGTTATTTTGCTTGCTTTTGAAAACAAAAAGGCTGGACTTATTTGGCATGCAGTACTCTGTAGACTGCCTTTTAAATTGCAGTGTATGATGGACAAATTCTTGCATCATTATATCTGATCTCTCCAACATTATTTTTAGTGGGTAATGTCAGACACTTTTCACTAAAATTTACCCAGTTAAGCATAAATTAATAGTTATAACTGTTCACAGACCACTAGTTTCATGGGGTAAATTCTTAGAGAATATGTTCCAAAGATTACACAATTTTTTAAACTTTTTTTTTCAGGCCAAGTGGTTTTCCACTCTCCAGTACTGAATGAAAGGGTATGATCCTAGTAAGACTGAGCATTCGTTTTAAAATTTGTTTCCAATTTTATAAGTAGAAAATAATATCCCTCTGTTGTTTTAATTTAAGGACAGCTGTCTTGATGGTTTCTCCTTTACTGGCCATATCCAGAGAAGCCTGGAAATATCATTATGATGACATACTTCCCAAAATACCAAGAAGGCCAGCAGCCTGTGCCTCCTTTCCCAGCCTGAAGCTCTTTCCTCAGAATGTTTTGAAAGTGACCACATTCTTCTGTGGCCAACTCTGAAAATACATGCCCACCGAAACCGCCAGCCCTGAAATTGTGAGGCGTGCTAATGAAATCCAGACTAGCCATTGAATTCCACAAGAAATGTCATCTAGAGGTCTGACAACTGATCTGTAAAATGGAAACCCAGTTCCTAGAACCTACGTGTTTACATCTATTGCAGTCTTGGGCTTTAAAGGTGCTCATTCTGTGTGGTGGCAATGGTTTTTTCCCAGAGCTATATTTGCTAGTTTGCAAAGTTCAGCAAAGGTGAAAGGAGGCAAAGCCATTCATTGCCTTTTAGAGTGAAGCCATACCATGGATGTGTATGCCAGCTTAGCTTCATTTGCCAGCATCCAGAAGTGCTCCCTCTCACCATGACTAGATCCCTAGTGTGCATGTTTGTTGCATGTATTGGTTGAGAACATGCACAAACACATGACTATGAGCCCTTTGGCTTCTCTCCAACCAGGCTGGTATGTGGACTCTGATTTATGAACATGTAACTTTGCCAAAGCATGGCCAGATTCAGTATACATGTGTATTTCTAGCCCTCCACGCAGTGTGCTAATGTATTCTATTTTAACTCTTGCATTTGAGTCTTCCTATCTAGTCACTCATGAAAACATACCATTTTGCTTGATTGCATAGATAAAAGTTATTTACTCTTTGACTATTTGGGAAACAACTGTGTAAAGCATTGCGTCACATGCTTGGTAGATAAATGAGGTAAGGCAATTAAGCTAAGATTCCTGTCCACCCAGAGCTGGCTCTCAATGACAGACACTACATTTGTGCAGAACAGAAATTTAGTACCTTTCTCTTTCTACTTCCTCTTGCCTTACAGCTTCTTCTTTGCTATTTTTGATCCATTTACCTGTAATACGGATAATCCTGGTAAGTCCTAATGTTTATGCCTGTCAGGTTCATTATGCATTACATATCAAACCAGCAACCATTCTTGTGTTTCTAGTGCTTTAAAATTTACAAATGGCTTCTTCTATGTTCTCATCTACTACGTGAAACAAACATATCAAGTAGTGCACTAGTCATGGTGAGAGACAGGGCAATTATGGATGTTGGAAAGTCCAGGTATGTGCTTGAGCCCAAGACAAAACTGATGATGACTATGTTCCAGTTGGTGCCTGCTATTTTTTTTCCAGCGGAGGGCAATCTTTTGTTTTATTCAGGTCTTAAGATGACTGAGAGAAGCCTATGCACATTGTGGAGAACTATGTCCTAAGCCACACATTCTAATGTCACTCAAAGCACTTGTAGACATGTTGACTAGCTATATTGGTACTGTAGCCCAGCCAAATTGACATATAAAATGATCTTCTAAAGCCCAGTGAAATCACCTTATTTTAAAGATGTGTAGAAAGACCCTCTAAGCTTAAATGACTTTCCTAAGATTACATCATAATTAAGGACTATTTTAAATGTTTGTTTTGTTCTGTATAACTCTTTTCTAGGGTGTATACCTTAGTGTTACAACATTTGATCTTTTTTCATAGGTTCATATAAAAAAAAACCTTTTCCACAAGCATTCAAAATGCCTTGGAATGCCTCTTAATGTTCTTTGTGTGTCTTGACACAATTCTGACATCAATTCTTTGAGTATCCTGTGATTCAATCCAATTCTGACACTACTTAGAGGCAGCAAAGACTCCACACATTGATCACATAATCTCTCAAGGCTGCCTCATTTCAGACACCCACTACTAATTTCAGGAGGTCTGTGACATCTCTGCAAAATCAGTCACAAATTCAAAATGTCCCAGTCCTCTCCTAGACTTGATACTTCACCAAATGGGTCACCGAATTCAGTATTATTTGACTTGTGATCACTATTTCATTACAGAGGACGCAGATTATTAACCAGGTAAGAGATGCAAACTAAAGGTCTGGGAGGATCGTGAGCAGAGGAGCTGGTCTCCATGGAGTCAGTGTGTGCCCTGCCCCTATATACTGATAGATCCGTGAGCCAGCAGATGCCACTGGCCTGTGTCTGAAGATTTGATGAGTTGCATTATGTAGGCATGGTTGATGATGTCATTGATCATGTGGCTGAGCTCAGCTATCATCCCTTCTCTATATCCCTTCAGTGGGCAGGAGCTGAACAGCTCAGCCTCCAATAATAGATGTAGTCTTCATGGCGTGGCCAGCTCTACCCTTAAAAATATCTAAGAGTCTAATTGCCATTTTATTTCCAAAACAAAGACACATCTGCCCCTCAGGAAATTCAAAGTTTGTGAAGCTTTGTGAAAGAAATAGGAACAAAGGACACGTATTTATTATATTTGGTAATTTTCTGTCTGTGCTTTATCCTCAATGTACATCATTCAAAGTAGTTTCCTAAAAGTCAAGGATTGAAAGACATCCTCAGATGCCTGTTCATTTTTTAATGAGAAACAGAAAGGGTGTGGATTCCTCTGGGAGGGGTGGTATGGAAGAACTGGGAGATGTTAGGGGAGAGGAAACATAATCAGAATATAGTTTGAAAACATCTATGTTCAATAAAAATATACAAGAAAGAAAGAAATACAGACCAAATAGCCTCAGCCTTTAATTTGTAATCAACACATTTTAATGATACCTACAATTGTGAATGTCAGATGAATGTCAGAGCCTGAGAATGCAAACATGTTTTCTTTTTTCTCCCAAGGTTGATTTCAAATGTGGGTTTTCTGAGGAATTAAATATTAAGAACTAAGCTAATATTCTTCAATCCTTTGGACAGACTTAAAATACACATTACACTTGGATTATTACGTGTGTACTCTTTTCTTCAAATCTTTCGTATAGTTATGTATGAATGAACTTCATTTATCACCTAGGGGAGCAACAAAGTAAATGAAATAAACATTCTGCATGAAGAGGGGCTGCAATAGGTACTTTACAGTTATAAATGTGTAATTCCTTTAGATGAGGTTATCATGAGACAATATGATGGTTCTCCAAATAGATTTGTACTTTCCCTTGTGGTCCTGAAAAACCAGTGCTGTACATGCATTGTGACATCATATGAGTGACACATAGAATGAACTCAGACAAAAGGAGGAAGGTCCACACTTATTTCTGTTTTTCTGCAACCAAAAGGGAACCTTGCAGAGGCTCACGTGACTTTTGTTCTGGCTGTGAAGTATTACTTATATTTATCTTCACTCATTAATATAGATAGATATAGATTACCT